GACTTCCAGACAAGCAATCGTGTTAAACGAGCCACAGGCCGTTGAGTACATACTTCATACGGACAACTGGGCTAAAGACAAATGGGCCGCTAGGAATGAACGTCTAGACGGACACCTTGACAAACGAGGTGGCCCAAAACCTGCTCCGATACCATGATAGAATTTAGGATTGGGTGTGGGACAACTGGATTGGGCAATAAGAGTCTTGGGTTGAACCGCATTAAAAGATTGAATCCAATCGATTAGTTAGTTCAACTCAAGAGCTTATATACCGATTATTTTCCTCACACTTTTCCGATGTGGGATACTCTTAACAGTGTTTAATTTCGAAAAGTGCAGTTGGAGTTCATTTAGAAGAAAGAGAAATGATGCAAAGAAGTGCGAGATTTATTTTGGGATAGCCGAAAAAGGAAAGTGTAGCTTTCCTTTGGGACGAGATCAGAGGGAGTATATTTCTATATAAGAGAAACAGACAAATAAATACTCGGGGTAAATAAAACAAGTATCAACACATATTTAGATTTCTTAGTCATTATATCTCTATATAATATAAATAAACAAATGAAACACTATCAACAAATATCCAAAATAAATTTAGTCAGTTTCCATATACCTTTTCTTTTCCTTCATATTTTCAACTATGTTTCCCTTCCTATTTTATTTCCCTAATATTTTCAGCGTTCCAAACATGCCATTAGTCCACAACAACAATAAACCCAATATAATCCCAACTTTGTTGGGTCTAGGGGGTCAAGATGTAAGCAACCGTATCCCTGTAAATAGAGGTCCCCGTTAGAATTCATTGCTGCATGGAAAGTAAGAAGCAAAGGCAAAGGAAGTTATATGTGTCAATTTGATTTAGTTCATTTTTTACCCAAAACTAGAAACATTGTTAAAAGGACTCTTCTAACCCCATTAGCAATGGTTACAATGCCCTTAGCACACGGGAAAAAAGTGTGATATGAGAAGATGAGGGCTCACAAAACACTATGTTCATTCAGCTTTTTCTTGCACAGAGGTGCTATCTGCGGTCAACAAATAGTTTATGGTTTTAAGTCTAGCAATGTTGACACGTGTTATTCAATGAAACAAGACTTAGAATAGCATGATTAGTTGATTGATACCTGTAAACGTGTTTTAATGGTGTCCAGTGGAGTAGTGATACAAGATGCCGTAACACCTGCAATAATTCCACCAGCAGCTTGAACTGACACTATCCTTCCCTGGCTAGGAGCAGGTTGACCCTTCTCAGTCCCATGTCCTAAGAGACTGTCAAACATGTGTTAAAGCAATGATATGGACTTTTGCACCACCACCAATACTTTGTTCTATCAATAAAAGGGATTTTTTTTAGGAATATGATACTACAATTTATCGAAATTATGAAAATTCATAACAAATGGAAATGAACTTCTGGCACGAGTTACCTCCAAATGAAGCGCTGGCTAGAACCATAGCTAGCCCACCATACTGCACTTGATGGGGAATAGGTTAAAATAGAGAGACCAAATCCTCTATACAATCCACGAACCCCTTCAGATTTCAATACTTTCCTAACAACATCTAAGCCCCCGTTGTAGCTGGCATGGCCTGAATATCCTTGCACCATTAACCTTTGGCTAACCTTTTCCATTCAATTTCAGACACACAAATCGTATCAAATTACGTGAAAATGGGAGTAATTAAGAAAGACGATATCATAATCATTCTTTTAGTGAATATTTACTCAAAAATATATTTTAGCAATAGATATAGGGTTACCCTTGTGAGGGAAAACAGAAATTTCAGTCCCCCAATCATGATGATTTAGCCCTTTGATTATTAGTCTTGCCCCTTGTTATCCTTAAAGTGGTGAATTCAGTCCTTCATAAATTTACATGTCAATTTTTTTTTTCATTTTAGTATATATTTTCATAACTAGCCTCATCACTCCCTTTGTTCCAAATCCGGTCAATATAAATTTAAAAAAAAAAACTAACTGATCTTGAAATGCAAATCTTATTAACGTTCAATTACAATCATTTGTTAGAATCTTAGCATAACTATGTACTTAAAGGTAGGAGGTTTGAATTGTAGATTTAAGGTCTTTTCTAAAAACACCACTTCAGTTACCATTTAAGGACTTAAAGTGGTGGCACTAAAAGTTCCATTCTCCCGCTCTGAAGGTTACACGTTTTACAGTGAAATCATTTCACGAGACAATTGTTAGGAAGTGTGAACAAGCACTCAAAAACATGATATTGGCAAACAGTAATCCTTTGCATACCACATCAATTGGAACGAACACAGACTGTGCACAGAGCGAAGCCAGCATGCCACCAACACCATTTGCTATGGCTGCCTGTGTAGGTTCAGAAAACTTGAACGGCTCAACCGCCCGAAAAGCGGCCACTTTTGTCGTCTCCAACGCCGTGAGAAATATAATTCTGGCAGGAATTGCGCCGGTAATGACAGTTCCGAATCCTCGATACAAACCTGGAATCCCGTCCGTTTTAAAAATTCCTCTCAACACAGAAAATGCATTCTTTTCTTGGGAGTAATGGTCAGCTACCTGCAATCTTGTCTTGACAACTGAAATGGGATAAAGTGCAACTGTAATCCCAGTAAAAATCCCAGCTCCTACGACATAGAACTTAGGTTTATCAAGCCTGCACGATGAATGGATCATTAGAGAAATTTGAAGATTCGCCTGGAATCGTAAAGGGCAAAGAGCATTTTGTACAAGAATCATCACAAACGCATAGAACTTTCACAGATTTAACACTATAATACTCTCCATTTCATCAATCTAGAATAACACGAAAACGGGCATTTGAGAAAACATATAAATGTAAAACAGATCGGGGGGAAACTCACTTATCCCAGTTGATCTCGGATTGATACCGTTCTTGAGGCCGAGCCGCGTCCATTTCAACCCAGAGGCTTGTTCGCAAGGTGGTTCAGTTATTCTCGAATGGAAATGCCAAAGATTGCAAAAGAAATTCAAGCCCTAATTTCCCGACAACAGAGGCTCGATTCCATTACTTTCAGGAGTTTTGGGGAAGCAGAAATTCTATCAACATTAGATTACTACTATCCCTAAAATGTCCTTCAATATTTTTTTCTTTGAAAAACTCTCTTCTCTTTATTATTCACACGTAAATTAAATTGCAATATGATGTTTTTGGGTATATTTGCAACAAGTATTCATTTTACTAGAGTACTCCATTCGTCTCACCAAACATTACCTATTTTGATGTATTTTTGGTCAAAAAATTACACACTTTGACCATAAATTAAATATAATCTAAATAAAGAAATATTATAAAAATTTGATATATCAAAAACTAGATCCTAAGATTAGTCTAATTATATTAAATTTAATTATATTATAATTCAATATACTTTTATCAAATTTGTAATCAAAACGGGTACTTCCTCCGTCCCCGAAATAACTTCCCTTATTGACTTTTTGGGAAATTAAGGGAGGAATATTTTGGTGTTGACTTTCCAAAAATACCCTTGATGTAATGGATAAAAGTAAGATGTGTTGCATAGATTATTAGTAAAAAAGTATGATGTGATAGATAAGGTATGAAAAAGTAAGGGTAAAAGTGGGTTTTAATAGAAAAGGAAAGAAGATTATGGGACAAAGAAAAAACAAAAGGGGAACATCTTTCGAGGACGGAGGGAGTATTTTTTTGACCAAATACAATTCAAAATGAGTAATGTTTTGTGGGGCGGATGAAGTATTATTTTTTGAGTAACTAAATACTCATTTCAAATAACTAAATAATAAATTTTTTAAAATTTAGTCTTGCTTGAAAATGAGTATTTCAATTAAAAATAAACACTAAAGCTCTTCTTCTTTCAAAACTTGTTTCTAAAATCTCTAGAGTTTTGAAGAGCAACTCCAATACACGAAGGCAAAATGAGGAAGTGTTTTCTTCATTTACATGCAAATTTTTTATAAATTATGAAAAAATGTGGTGTTTCATGCTTCCGACTTCGTTACCGTATAAGTCAATTTCTTCGTCTAAGTGCAACATAGGTTCTTACTCTATCCTCCCTCCCCTAGAAGTATACGTGCAACCAAGGGAGTGTGGGGTTTGTGGTTGAGGTAGAGTGGAGGTTTTGGTTGCGTTCCATTTAACTTCTTATTTTTTCTAGTTATTATTTATTCTTATTAAAATTAGATTGGGTTAGATCAGATCAAATTAGATTAGATATGATCCAATCAGACCCAACCAAACCTAATCAAAATTATAAATATGACAACGTACAACAAGTAAATATGCGAATGAACAAAAAGAGAAAAGAGCGAATTGAAAAGCATAGAAAGTTTTGGCATTTTATTGACAGTACATAATCAGTTTTATCAATAAGAAGTAATTAAGATAATTTAATAGCAGTGTTTCCTTAATAGAAGCCCAGTTTCCCGGTCGGCCTTAACAGACAGTTTAAGATAAATATATATTAATACTCCTTATTATCATAGAAAGTTTTAAGACGGGCGGGTAGTAGGGTCGAGTGTGTGTGTGTGTATATATATGATCACTTGAACAGTCGAAGAGAAGATGGTCCTCCTCCGTGGCCAATGCCGGGACTGTGGCCGGCGGTGGTAATCGGCGAGAATGCATCTCGGGGCGGCGCTGCTTCAAAGCGGCCGCCATGGGTCCCGGATGAAGATGTTACTGCATGATCAGTATGAGCGTGAGGGGGCACATGGTGGCCAATGCCGGGACTGTGGCCGGCGGTGGCAATCGGCGAGAATGCCTGGCCGCCGGCGGGCTGCGGAGCGGCCAGTAAACGGGCAGCAGAAGCGGAATAATGACCATGAGAGAAGAGAAGAAATGAGCAAAGGAGAAGACATGATGATGCCGCGGCGGCCAACATTATTCTTTGGTTAACTATATATGGGGAAGACTTGATGAAGTGATTAATTAAGTAAAACGACTAATTGCAGATTTGCTCTAATCGGGATATATATGTGGCCTATATATATAGTGCAATAAAACAAGAGGAGCCATTAATATATATGAGCACCCTGCATATGTATAATTATTAATAATAATAATATGGCCAACATGAATTTCTTTCCTTCCGTCCAAAGAGGATTTTTATCCTCCACTTATCTCTTCCCTCCTTTCCTGCAAGAGCATCTTTCTTTTGGGTTAAAAGTTAACTTTTAGTGAGTAATTTTTTTCAAACTCTTTGTATTTCTTACTAGTTTTAATTTATTTTATTTTTGTCTATTTCTTTCAACTTACTTAAAAGTTTATTTGCATTTGATGATTTTACAATAACATCTTATATCTAAATTTATTACATATCACTTTAGATACAAATAACGGTGGATTTCTTTTTATCTAAAATTAGTCGTAGGTATTTATTTGAATGAACACTTAATTGAGTGATTTTTTAATATTTTATTTTCTCAATAACTTTTACCTACTTCCAACTTTTTCAAACATCTAATTTTATAATTCAACCGAAAAGAAGATGCTCTAAAAATAACCATAAGTGCAATGAAGAGACGAAGGTGAAAAAAAAAGGAGTTGGGGAACAAATTAAAGTGCTGCTGATCGAAGTAGTGCACTACCACTCCTAGTTGCGACTAAGGTCCGTTCCATTCATTTCTTTAAATTTCAAATTTTAGACTTCTATACTTTAAAATTAAATTGTAAATTTTATATTCACTATTTTATATTTTATATTTAAATATTAAACCCTAAATTCTAATTCTAATTTTATATTTTATATTTTTTAAAAAAATTTAAATTTTAAATATTAATTTTTAAATATTTAAATTAAATTTTTTTTGTTTAATTTTTTGTTCTTGATTTTTATTCTTAATTTTAAGTTACGTTTTTAATTTTTTTTATTATTTATTTGTACTCTGTAAATTTTACTTTTTTTATTTTTAATATTATATTTTCAATTTGTATTTTTTACGTTTTTAAAATTTCAAATTTTAAGTTTTTGGTTTATAATTTCATTTTTTAAATTTTAAATTTTAAAGTTTAAAGTTTAAATTTAAAATATATTAATTTTAAATTTTTATTTGTTAGTTTATTAATATTTAATTTTTAGTTTAAAATTTTTAGTTTTTTATTTTAATTTTAAAATCATAGATTTAAGTTTTTAAACCATAAATATTACTCATAAATTTTAAAATTTTAATTTTAGTTTTTAATTTTTAGTTTCTAAATTTTATTTTTTTATTTTTTATTTTTAATTGTTATTTTTAAATTTAAATTTTAAAAATTAATTTTAATATTTTAAATCTTTAAGACCCAAAATGTAGAAGGCATGTTTTGTTGTTATGACCTTCTCCCTCCATCCTAGAATGATCTTTCCAGTCCCTAGTTACATGGTCAAACTTTAATCACTTTCTTTTTTAATTTTTGTTAGTTATCTGATAAAATAATATAGTCATGTCACCTCATGTTTTGTAGAAATTTTGATGTAGTTTTTTTTGAAGGAGATGTAGTTTTAAAATATATATTTTTTTTAAATTTTACACATATAATCAAATAAATTGAATTGAAAATAATTTCAGTCAAACCTCGTAAACACATCTGGAAAGATCATTTAGGCGGTAGGGAGCAAAAAGAAGACTTGTTTCATTGTTATGACTCAAAAAAGATTCGCTTGATTTCGTCGACTCGTAGAATTCATTAATTCAAAATGTGGATTTTAAATTTTTTACTTGTGTTATAGAATTTCAAATTGTGAATTGGTAAGCTTGGATTTTTAGTTTTTAAATATTAATAAAAGATAATGATTTTTTAAGAGAACATTTTCATTCTTACCAAATAACATACATCCGTTTGCAAAAAAAGCTTCCTACTTTGACTTGGAGCAAAAATAAAGAAGTGTAGAACTCCGTCCACCTAAGATCTTTCCATTACGCGTCACGAGGATTGACCGGTTTTATTTCCAATTCAATTTAATTGATTATATGAGTAAAATTATATATATATATATATATATATATATATATATATATATATATATATACACTACATGAAAAGCTCTACAAAACTAGACCTGTGCAAACAAGGGTCAGCCCGTTCGGCCCGCCCAGCCCGCCCTTTAAAAAGGGCGGATATAGACAACCTTTAATATCCAAATGGACGGGCCGGCCCAAGCCCGAATTGTATATGAGCGGATCTGGAAGGTACTTTTAGTCCATTTGGGGCAACAGGCCCGCCCATATTCATCAAATATATTTACTTTATTAATATTTACCAAGCCAATATAAATTTTAAAATTTTCTATAATTCATGTATAATAGTTTAATTCACTCACCTCTTTTAAAAAAAATTAATATTCTTTTAATGAATCATTATGATGGGTTTATTAATTATGCAACAATATCTCTATTATGTTTTCTATATAAATGTGGTGAGTGGTTATTTTATTTTAAACATTGAAAAAGAGTTCAATGTTTATTTTTTAATTTTTTGTACAAAAAAATTTTCTTGATGTTTTATCCGGGCCGGCCGGTCCGGTGGGCAGTCTGGCCCGCAAAGATGGGCGGGTATGAATAAAGAATATAATTTAGCCAATCAAATCCGGGCGGGGCCAGACCTGCCCATGTAAATGGGCTAATAATTTATATTAAGCCCGGCCCAGATCCGGCCCGGATCCTTATTTGCATGGGTCTATACGAAACTAGAGGTGACAAGACTATATCATTTTACGAAATGACTAGTAAAAATGAGCAAACAAAATGAGTAAAGTTTGACCCTGTGAATAGTGTTTGAGAAGATATATGGTGTTCAGAGGGAGTAGTTGACTTCCAATTTTACCTCTTATGTGATGGATAAAAGTAAGATGTGATTGGTTGATTATTGAAGAACAACTATGATGTGATATGTAGGGTATGAAAAAGTAAGGCTAAAAGTGTTTTTTTAATAGAAAGGGGAAATGTTTTGTTGGAAGTGGAAAAAATGAAAGAGAAAGTATTTTTTAGAACGAAGTCCCTCCTAATTCCTTCTATCAAGAAAAAGGATCTCCAGTCCACCACAAATGTGTGTCTTTAGATCTATCACCATCACTCTTTGAGTTCACATCAGGTCCTCATCTCAGCCTGCTCAGTCCATATAAATTTAGCCATTAGTATAAAGTCAAAACCGAACAAATATTTATAGAGCGGAAGAAGTATTTTTAGAGAGAATTCTCTCGTTAAGAGTAAAAACTTATTATAGAAGTTTTAAATCTTTTAAGATCAAAATAGAATTTCACAATATCATTGTTACACTAGCACATTCACTACATTATTTTACAACTGTTGTCCTAACTATCACTGCTACACTGTCATCTGCCGCCTTTGGCCACTAGAGTGTCGTCGTATATCACTGACGGTTAACCGATCAGTCACACAATCATATTACAAGATCCTTCACATTGTCATATTTGCCAACACATACTTTTACACTACACTGTCATTACTCTTATTTTGGTCTTAAAATACCTAAAACTCATATTTTTGTATTTTCATACTTTTTTTTACTCTTATCTAAAAAGATTTCTTTCTTTGTTTGATTAAGCACATAAATCTATAACAATAATAATAACAACAACAACAAAAACAACAATAAAGTTATTACTGTATAATAATTTAAAACTATTCTTGGATTAGATCAGATAAAATTTATTCAAATTAGATCATATCCAAATAGACAAATTAAACAAAACCAAATTTAGTGCGAAACATTATTTTTCAAAACATTGCATTGTTCCAGTGGAGCACCATGGGTTCACACATTTGATTGAGTTTAATTAAGGAGTACTTTCTCTGTCCAAAAAATTACATTTTTACTTTTTCTGATAAATTTTATACACATTTTGGCCATTTATAAATATAATTATATAAATAAATATTGAAAAAATTTGATTTATCAAAACAATATTTTTAAATAAACTCATTTATATTAAGTTTACATTATACTCCGTAAGTAAATATTTTTTTATAAAATTTGTAGTCAAAGTATGTATAAAATTGATCAAAAGAATGAATATGCGAATTTTTTGGGAAAGATTGGATTTGTTAATGATGTATGGTAGACTATAAACCTTATTGAGCTTATTCCATGAAAACTATATGAAAAGATTCACATTTTACATGTGGATCTTAGAATCATAATAGCATAACCCGAAGAGGTAAATTCTGTTGTGATCTAAAGGGCTACATTCATTTTATGGATCTAATTAGTATATAAATACCACGGATGAATTTAGTTCTTTAAAAAAATAAAAGATTCTCATCTTGACTTATGAAAAGTGCAAGTCTACATTTCACATAATTTTAGGACAACAAAAAAAAGTGAAAAATAGTTTTAGGATAGAATGAATATATAAACTTTACAATATTTAAACTACAACACTTTATATAAAAATTTAGCACTCTAACTTCACCGTTTTCCATTTTATCTTTTCTAAAAAATACTTACATAAATTAAATTTTACTACTTGTAAAACTTTATTTAAACTGCATTTTGTCTTTCAAAATATTTATTCTTTGACATTTTTTATTATCTATATTTTTTATCCTACCAAAATTATAACTCTTTATTTTACTTTGTATCATCTCTATGAAAATAGAGTGTTGAAAACTTAAACGGTAAGTCTAAAATGACACCAGTGCTACTGGTGTTATTTGCTTACACCAGTTCGTTTGGGGTATCTACGGTTCTCCATTTGTAAAAACGTTCTTCCTATCCCCCTAACCCCCCCCCCCTAAACTCCCCACCCCGGCCCCATCCTTGCCCCCCCACCCCAGCCCCCCTCCCGCCCCTGGCAGTAGGGCAAGGGTGGGGCTAGGGTGGGGGGTTTAGGGGGAGAGTTATGGGGGTAGGAACTGTCATTTTTACAAGCAGAGAACCGTAGTTACCTCAAATGAACTGGTGTAAGCAACTGGTGTATAAGTAACTGATGTCATTTTAGACGCTTCCAAACTTAAAATATCAAAACATTCTAAATGGTCATTGTATGTAGCAATTTCATTGTTATGTTAATTAATCTATTTAAACTTTAATTCACTACTTGAACTAGAATATCATTAAACCAAAATTTCATCAAGAACAAAGTTCAAGGGCGTCAACCAAAGCTCCAAAAATTGATGATATAGAAGACGTATCGTTATGATTAATTGTCTGAACAACTCGATAACAATATGAAACAAGTGCAAGTTTATGAATACATATATCCAACATCCAAGAAAGAGCCTCTTTAGAAGCTATACCCCAAGCCAAAAGCTTGAGAAAAGGTAAATTTAGACTTTCATTTTTCTAGTTTATACACAGTCTTTACTACTCTGCGCATACACTACTAATTAGTGAGTTTTTTATATTAACTTGTAATCTTCTGATTCATTTCGTTGGTTTCTCCCTTACTCATCGTCAGCTTCTTCTTGTCGTCTGTAGATCCAGACTGTAACATTGTCATTGGAAATGAGGCATCCGCAATTAATTCAATAGAAATCATCTTAAATAGGACTAAAACATAGAGAAAAGTACCAAAATAGGACTTTCATGTTTTTTTCCCCAAAATAGGACTTTGCATTGTAGTAATGTGACTTTGCCCTGTGGTAATGTGACAGTGTACATGTGCACATTACTATACTTTTTTGGTAATGTATATGACCATGTTTGGTAATATAAGTCCTATTTCGAAAAAAAACATGGAAGTCCTATTTTGATATATTTTCAATGTTTTAGTCCTACTTTGATTTTTCTCCCTTAATACAATCCAAAAGCTAGAAATGTATTGATTGAAAAATAGTATTGATTGAAAAACCCTCCGATAACTCCAGCTTATAGCATTTTCAAAGTGATTAATCAAATTTTTTTCCAAAATGATTAATCAAACAACTCATTCAGTATTTTGAGTCATGGACACTGCTTTTTCTTTTTCTGTTTCTTTTTTTTTGGTCAAAATTTTTAAAGAACTTACCCCGTATAAAGCATTGATTAAAGAAGTCAATAATCAAACTCACCCAGTCTCCCAAGAAAGTACCATTACAGTTTTACAGAAGCAGAACAAGAATTTGCCACCACCGACGAGCAAATATTTTTCTTAAGATCCAAGAATTACCCTTCCCAGCTTGCACTCTCTCTTTCTCTCTTTCTCTCTCTCTCTCTCTCTCTCACCGGCTTCAGATCTCCGGCGGTGGCCATTGTCAGCCAAGCAGAGCCGCAGATACACCAGCTGCCACCGGAAATGGGGTTCTCAAGCTCTCTCTCCAAATCCACTGCCACCGCCATACTTCTTGTCTTCTTCCTCTCCTGCTCCATCTTTACTTCTACTGGTAGGAACCCTTATGCTTTAATTTCTTCATTCATTCCCGATTTCAATCCCAAGATTGTATTTTTAACTATTGTTTGAGGTTTCTTGATTCTTGATCATGTCTGGGACAATGACATAGTCGAACCACACTAAGATCTTTTCATATTCATGAGTTGCTGAACTGATAATCTATCCTCCTGTTTTGGATTTGTTTGTGTTTTTTTTCCAGTAAAACAATAATGTTCTGTAATCTGACATCAATCGGAGATTAGATCTTTGTTGTACTATGACGTTTTTGTTGCCAACGTGTTTATAATTTCTGCAATCGTAGCTTCAAGCCAACTGAATTAAATCTTTGTTAATATGGTCAACGAAATTTAGATTGAATTAATTTTTTTCCCATTTCTACTGCAGATGCATTTGATCCTCTGGATCCAAATGGAAACATCACTATAAAATGGGATGTAATCAGCTGGACAGCCGATGGCTATGTGGTACGAACCATGTTCTTGTTTGGGAACAACGTTTTCAATTAGCGTTATTAGCATTTTGGATTATTTTATAATGGTGCAGATTAACCTTGAAAATGCCAACATTAGATATTCTTTTTAAAACGCTATTCAGATCTATATTTCCTATGGAGCGTATGTGTATCGAAAACTTGGGTTTCCATTGTAAAAGGTCAATTTTTTACTCAGCTAATCATATTTGTAATGACAATTGGGGACAGGCTGTTGTGACAATGTACAACTTCCAGCAATATAGGCATATTCAAGCGCCGGGGTGGACATTGGGATGGACATGGGCAAAAAAGGAAGTGATATGGAGCATGATGGGAGCGCAAACCACGGAACAAGGAGACTGTTCAAAGTTCAAAGCAAACATCCCACATTGCTGTAAAAAAGACCCGATAGTCGTTGACTTGTTGCCCGGGACTCCTTACAACCAACAGATTGCTAACTGTTGCAAGGGAGGTGTAATTAGCTCCTGGGGTCAGGATTCTCAATCCGCCGTTAGCTCGTTCCAGGTCAGCGTCGGTCAATCGGGGACCACCAATAAAACTGTAAAAGTGCCTAGGAATTTCACCTTGAGAACTCCTGGTCCCGGTTATACTTGTGGACCCGCAAAGGTTGGTAAACCCACCAAGTTCATTACTCAAGATGGAAGAAGAGTAACACAAGCTATGAGTAAGTTGTCTGGCATTACCTTTTTAAATATATCTGCATTGTTGACATGAATGAGTGACGAACTCATTTGAAGGACTTGTTTGAAATTTCAAGCTCATTTCGTAATTTTCTTTAAATGGAAAGTATGAAATAACAAACTAACATAGAAGGTCGTGTGTTACTCCATCATCTATGAGGACCACAAGTCTTATTCTGGTGTGAGAGCATATTAAGCTCAAACTAACAAGTCAATATTTGTAAGTCTAGAACAAAGAAATGCAAGGAACATATATTAAGCTAATCCTCACAAAAGTTTGAGTTTTGACTTTTAGGGATTCAACCCCCAAATCTTATAAGTCTATTCTTTTTTAAATTTCAATCTCTCTTACACTTTCACTCTATATAGGCAACAACCTCTCTACTTCGACACACACACCCCCCCGAGACCCTACTTTTGTTGTTATTGTTGTTAGATTTTCAAACTATATGGGATTTTTACATGTATGTTTCTTTTTTTTTCAGTGACTTGGAATGTGACATGCATGTATTCGCAGTTTCTAGCTCAAAAAACTCCAACTTGTTGCGTCTCACTCTCGTCCTTCTACAACAACACTATTGTGCCATGCCCAACGTGCACATGTGGCTGCCAAAATAACGGCACTCAACGTGCCAATTGTGTTGAGTATGTTTTCCTACTAAGGGCTTCCTTCCAGTTGTTTTTTTAACCCTTAAATGCTCACGTGCATTATTTATTCGTTCTTGCAGTCCAAACGCTCCCCACTTGGCCTCGGTTGTATCAGATCATAGCAATGGGAAGGGCAGCTTGTCCCCATTGGTACAGTGTACAAACCACATGTGCCCTATCAGAATTCACTGGCATGTAAAGCTCAACTACAAGGAATATTGGCGCGTGAAGATTACCATAACCAACTTCAACTACCGGATGAATTATTCAGAATGGAACCTCGTTGTCCAGCATCCCAACTTTGACAATTTGACTAAGATCTTCAGCTTCAACTACAAGTCTTTGACTCCTTATGGATCGTTGAGTAAGTTCCTCTTTCACATTCACTACTTTAACCCCACACCAAGATTGACACCATTAGCGACAATCACACACTGGCAGTCATTGTCTTCGTCTGACATAGCCGGTGTCAACATTGGTGTCATTTATTCCCAAATTCATGATACACGTAAATAACATGGCATTACACTTTCCTTGCGACAGACGACACTGCGATGCTGTGGGGAGTGAAATTCTACAACGATTTCCTCTCTCAAGCGGGCCCCTTAGGGAACGTCCAGTCAGAGCTTCTGTTGAGAAAGGATTTATCAAGCTTCACTTTTGAGAAGGGATGGGCTTTCCCACACAGAGTTTATTTCAATGGGGACAATTGTGTCATGCCACCACCAGATGCGTATCCGTATTTGCCAAACGCGACTTCTAGACGCACGGCAGCCTCTCTACTCTCTCTACTCTTGATCACATTCTTCTTTGCGTGCTTCTAAAACGAATCATTTTGGAATTCTCTGTATAATATAGTGTCATCTTCGCGTGCCGTTTATTGTTTGAATTTGTTGTTTTTTTTACACTTCCAAGTTATAAGAACATATTGTTTGTAGGTGTATTGAGTTCATAGTGTTTCTATAGCCTGTACCACAATAATGAATAATTTACTAAATCATTGTAAACATAAATTTTATGACAGCATTTTTGGCATTATTAATTATTGTGTTCTCTGTATTCCATTTAATTAAGAAATATTTGCACTAAATAGCACTAAAACTTAAGTCATTTCTCTAAATAACACTTAAATTGTTTTATTTCCTAAATAACACTTAATAATGTTCATAATGTCCTGTGATGACAAATATTTACTTGAATAATGACTAATGCATAATGACTAAAAGTGCTACATTGAGAAGAAAAAACACATGTGGTGCTATTTAGGGAAAGTCATTATATTTTAGTGGTATTTAAGTAAATTTCTTTTTAATTAATCCAATTTATGCCATCTTTGTGTATATTCTTTGCACGGTTTCATTTTGACTCTTGGTAAAAATCAATTTTACTGGATGATTCCTTCAGGTGTGGTAAATTGTAATCACTCTTCTGCTGCATGGGGAAAGGTAAATTTATTAACAAAATACTCCATCCATACAAAACAAAATACACTCTTCAATCTTCAAAAGTAACGGAAACTTTTGTTTATTGTGTGTTTTGATTGATTATTAGATAGAATAAAATATTATGTAGTTTTTACATATGTAAAACTTCTGTTTTGATAAGACAAAAGTTTTATATTTAATTTTCTATTAATCTTTATATAAAATAATTTAAAAAACTTAAAATTTCATTTCGTTTACGTAAAGTGTAAAACATTTTGAGACGGGAGGAATAATAAAATAATTGGAATAAAAGGAACTACAGTAATGGACTTTTTGAAATTTTATACAAACAATTCATCACACTAGATGCTTTAATTGATCAAAACAAAACTCTCCATATATAAACGGACAATTTCGGTGTCCAAACTAATTGGGCCTCACATTTAAATTCGATCTGCAAACTAATTTCATTAGTGGGATATGACTAACGGGCTTACTGGCTTAAACATTTTGCTTTATCATTCCGTCTTCTTGTTTGTTTTTCTTCCCATAGTTGACTGGTCTTCTTCTTCTTTAGTTTCTAATTATAGTTTTGATTTTTTTATTTTTTAGTTTCTAATTTCAGTTTTTTATTATTTACTAAATAAGTTTTTAACTTCATATTTTAGTTTCTAATTTTATTTTAGTTTAATTTAAAATATTTAATGAAATATTTAAAAAAAATAAAAGAGATTATGAATCCAAACATGTGAATGAGCATGAAATGTGAATGAAATGGAAAGTTAACGTGAGAAAAATCCCTCATCCAACCTTTGTTCATAATTAATTGTCATTTGTAACTCTTGGCAAATTCTTACCTGATCTTAAATATTCATTTTATAAGCTTAAATGCATTGATATCATAAAAGAATTGAGTTCTTTTACAAAAAATTTACTTGTCAGATCATATAAAATGTAAGAAAATCGATATTTCATATCTAAAAAGACTAAATTTAAAACTATTGAAGAACATCTTATACGTGTAAAAGTGTAAGTGTATTATTAGAGAAATAAGAAATTAAGCACAATCCTCATCACGTGGATGATGGCATTTGTGCTCCTAATGGGCCTGTAACAAACGGGCCATGTAGGGCCTATACTCACCTTAACATAAGTTACCGCAACTCTTGTATGGTTCTTGAATCCATTCTTATTTAATTTTCGCACATAAAAGGTTAGGAGAACACAGATTAAGAGAGCATGCTGAATTATAAGTTGACATTAATCTTCATGGTCAACCTAATATATTATTCAATGTGCATAAACAATTGATATTTTCAATTTTTTTGATCTATGCCACAAGACATTTTTATGATTCATTATTGATACGAGGTGAATATACCTATATAGTACTAAAATAAAGTGAGTTTTTCTATGTTGTATTACATGTTTTAATTACTCAATATAGTACTACTGTCGAATATCCACTAGACATTGTTCAAGTAAATGTCCACTATCACTACCGGAGAACGTGTTCAAGCAAATGTCTACCGCTACTGACGTTATTTCTGCCACTGTACATTATTCAAGTACTATTTAAGAAAATAAAAAATTTTAAGTACTACATAAAGAAAGAACATGCGAGGTACTCCCTTCGCCCTAAAATGTTCTTCCCAGTGGCTATTCACATGGTCAATTTTTAATCACTTTCTTTACCTATTTTTGTTAGTTATTTGATAAAATACTATAGTTCTGTCACCTCTTGTTTTGTATAACTTGTGATGTAGCCTTTAAATATATAATTTTTACCTTTTAATTTTATATCTAAAATCAAATAAATTAAATCGAAAATAAAGGCACTTAAACCTCGTAAATAAAAACAAAAAAAAACATTTTAGAACATATAAAATATGCTTTGGTGGAGTATTATTTAATTTAGTGAAACACTAGTCCACTAAAACACCCCAAATTATGAGCGGGGGTATTAAATTAACATGGGCGCACTTGCTAATGTCTACCATGCACATATATTTGGATATACGTACTATATATAGGGCGGAGGATTGGAGCAACATTTTGCGTGCGTCTATCAAATTAAATTAATAAACTAGCTACTTATGAATTATTATTCAATTAATTATATATTTATTTAATTAAACCTCCGTTCTACATGTACCATATAATGGATATGATGTCTCTTTCAACAAAACGAATAAAAAAATCATTTTTTTAAAATTTATTTTATTTAAAAACTATTATATATAGAAATAAAAAGTACTATGTATAACTTAATACCCTGTATATTTAAAAAATTAGTTCTTCAAAAATCTATAAGACAAGATATATCGACAATCAAATTTTATTTTATTTCATATCAAATAAGCAATGACACACCATAAAAAAATTAAAAGTTATCATAAATTTAGAATAGTGGACATAGACGACATCCATTGTGGGACGGAGAGACTATAGAGCGAAGTGCAACAAGCCAATCTATTGGCGTGTGACAATCCAAAATTAAGGCTTCGTTTGGTACATGGAATTCAAACTATGGAATTGGAATTGGGGACTTCAATTCCAATTCTAGTGTTTGGTAACACAAAAATTATGTAGATTTGGAATTGATAGTGCAAAAAATGAATTGAAATTGACAGAATTCAATTCTATGGAATTGAATCCCAAGAAATTACAATTCCAATTCAATTCCAATTCCACCAATTTCTTATACCAAACGGACCCTAAAGGAAAAAGGATGATATTTATTTGCTTTCCTTATTTAATGTAATTTCTATTCCGGTAGGAATACAATTATGGTAGTTTACTTCTTATTTTCTACAGTCTTCTCGATCAAGTGCATGCTGATCAAGCGACAAAGTCATTTCCTCTTTTTTTTTTTGAAAAAATATATAACAAAGCCATTTCCTCTTTTTTTTTTTAAAAAAAAAATACTCCCTCCGTTTTTTAAAAGTGTTCCTATTTGACTTTGTGTAAAAATAAGGAAGTGTTAAATTGTAGTTGACTTCCAATTTTGCCCTTGATGTGATGGGTAAAAGTAAGATGTGATGGATTGAGTATTAGAGAAAAAGTATGATGTGATAGGTAGGGTATGAAAAGGTAAGGGTAAAAGTGGTTTTTTAAAAGAAAGTGGAAGTGTTTTGTTGGAAGTAAAAAAAAATGAAAGAGGAAGAATTTTTGAAAACGGAGGGAGTATATACTTGAAAATACATAAGTGCGTTGCAACTTGCAACTAAATCTTTTAGCTTACAAAAATTATAATGTAAGCTTAGCTTAGCTTGCAATTTGACACTTTCGTTTGAACGAACACTACGACTCTTCTTGCCAAATGACAAAGGTGTCGTGGCCTCCTTTTTTTTCCTTTGTTTTCTTGCTCGATTTGTTTGATAGCTCGTACGTAGTATTATCTAGTAAAATTTGCACTAAATAGGACTAAAACATAATAACTTTCCCAATGTAAGACTTAAACTTTTTTATTCCCTGAATAGGACTTAATAATGACCTCGTGGAGGAATAATGTCCAGTAATGATAGACATTTAGTTGAATAATGATTACTTAATAATGACCAAAAGTCTTACATTGGGAAATAAAAACATATGGTCCTATATTGGAAAAGTCATTATGTTTTAGTCCTATTTAGGTAAATTTCTCTATTATCTACCCCTCCATGGCTTCTTGTTTGAAAAAAGACGTGCCTTCAAAATGAGTAATTTTAGTGTTATTATCTAATTATAACATGTCTATGCTACACATCTCATCATACTCTATTACTCCCTCCGTTCCACAAAGCCCTTCCAATTTTGACTTTGGGAAAAAATAAGGACAGTGGAATTTTGGTTGACTTTCTAATTTTGCCCCTCATGTGATGGAAAAAAGTAAGATGTGATAGTTTGGTTATTAGTGATAAAGTATGATGTGATAGGTAGGGTATGAAAATGTATGGGTAAAAGTGATTTTTTAATAGAAAGTGGAAGTGTTTTGTGGAAAGCAAAAAAAACGAAAGAGGAAGAGTTTTTTGGAACGAAGAGAGTATAAGATAAAAGAAAAAATAAAAAATAACATCAAAATTACTAATTTTAAGGATATGTTTTTTCCAAAAACAAAACGTTTTATGAGACGGATGAAGTATCAACACAACACTATTATGATAGTGTCTGTTCTAGTCAAATTCTTACAGATTTATTTTAGGACACTTTCCAAAAAAAACTCCTACAAATCAAATTTGGTAGTGTAAGTAGGCAGGCCGCAGCAAAATCAATCCAACACATGCATGGATTTGTATGTACGTTACGCGGTCGAGCATGAAAAAAATATACGGAGTATATATCATGCATGTTATTATGCATCTCTTTAGGTGTATTGATTGAATAGAGTTGTGCGCAAAAACCCAACAAGAAAGACGACTACATATGTTAGCTATGTTTAATTATACCTAGAAAACTATGAAAGTAATAATAATAATTCATATTTGTAAGTTGATCATCAGTAACAACTAACGAGGGACGACAGTTTGGAACACATGCAATCACTGAAATAGAGTTTGCAAAAGTCATTTCGTGAAAATAGCTTTTAGGTCGGACGGTGTAAAACCAACGTGAGTATTAAGTCACTAAAAATGGAAGGATAGTAGGTGCGAATACATGTAATTTAACCCGATTAGCTATTATAATAGTGAAATTTGCACT